TTTCATCACTTGCTTAGTCATTTTCTTTCATTAATATTGTCATTATTTTTATTAACACCATCGCTGTAATCACCATTATGGTTTGCAGGACTTTACTAGCTTTATCACTGTCCCCATCAATATTGTTATTATCTACATGTTGTTATCGTTTTAGTCATCACCATCTTCACCATTGTTATATCCGCCATTATTACGATAATTTTATTTTAATTGCTATCATTTATTTCATTATCGCAATCATTCTTATTACAATTAACGTCATTATCATTTTGTTATCTGCATTGTTTGAGCTATTATGGAATATAACTCCATGGCCGTTATCTTATGTGTCATTGGAGTCATTGGACATGTAACTTTCCTCTTTCCACGTTCATCTTTACTCTCAGTTCCTCTACATCACCGTCACTTCTATATATAGCTGGTTTAAATGTTTTAATAGTTTTTGTTATCATCGTCGATATCATCTTTGTCTTTTTTTCTTCAAATGTTTTTCTATTTTTTCATCATGCTTCAATCGATTTTATCCCCATCAACGTCACCTCATCACTCATTTTATCATATTTATCCCCATCAACGTCACCTCATCACTCATTTTATCATATTTATCCCCATCAACGTCACCTCATCACTCATTTTATCATATTTATCCCCATCAACGTCACCTCATCACTCATTTTATCATATTTATCCCCATCAACGTCACCTCATCACTCATTTTATCATATTTATCCCCATCAACGTCACCTCATCACTCATTTTATCATATTTATCCCCATCAACGTCACCTCATCACTCATTTTATCATATTTATCCCCACCAACGTCACCTCATCACTCATTTTATCATATTTATCCCCATCAACGTCACCTCATCACTCATTTTATCATATTTATCCCCATCAACGTCACCTCATCACTCATTTTATCATATTTATCACCATCCACATCATTTTCTCACTTGCTGCCATTATTTTGCTACAGATGATTCATAAAACGTTGCGATAACTACAATAATAATTTCGTCAGAACTTTTATGTCAGCAATAATTAAAATAATTGCGTTTAAATCGTTTAAATTTTAGGCTTCAATATACAACTAAACATTCAACCTCGCGATTGAGAAAAAAAACTTGCTGTTTCAAGTTTTGCGAATTTTATTAAAGATGAAGGGAGAATCCTATCTTCTTGGAAGCGATGACAGTGATGATAACATCGTTTATCACGGCAGCCGGTGCTCAAATTACAGAATGGACAGTTTGAATTCATCAACTGGTAATACTTTCGAAACTAACATCAGTGACAATACCAGTAACGTCAAAACAAATAAAATGGCTTTACATAACGGTAGTAGCAATAAGAGTATTCTCAGTCGAGATTTTTCCATTCCTCATTACCTTAAATGCGGTCCAAAGAAAACATTTCTCGAGAAGTTGAAAGCCAAATTGCATCCATCCATCTCGTCACCTCCATCTTTTAAATGCAATTCCAACTCGGCTGTTGGACCAACAATTGCACCGACATGTTCTTCACATCTTAATGATATCAAACGTGGTTGTTGTTCATCGAAAACATGCGTGGAAACTCTTCCGCCTACCATCTCTCTCACCTTGTCCACATCTGCACTGCAACTCATAGAGGAATCAAATGCATCGAAAAATTCCATGCCATCTTCGTCGTCGTCATCGTCTGTTGGAGCATCAGTAGATAAGCTCTCCCTACCACACACTCCTGTCGTGAGGACTCCATCGTTGCCAATATTACCCATTTCATCATTACCACCATCAGTGTCACCATCAGTGTCACCATCAGTGTCACCATCAGTGTCACCATCATTGTCGGGTGATCGCCGTTCATTGGCTTGCAGACCGTCGTCACTAGCATTGATACGAAAACCTCTAAATTACGGGACGAATGGAAGATGTAAAAATGGAAATTATTCATCCGTCTCCAACTTGCTCGTTAGCCTACCATCATCACCCATTATCGAATGCAAGAAGATGATTGGTTGTTGGAACAACTGGAAAGGAAGTGGATCAAGTTCCGGAAGTGGAGGTTTCAGTAGCAGCAGTTGCAGTGGCTGCACGTCCAATGGCCACGTGCCACTTGGCAAGAGTTCCAGTTTGAATTACCACAAACATGATAGGGCAAGCATCGTGCGCAGGAAGTTTCAGACTTTCAGCAAGGGCTCCAAGAATTTCAATATGATGGTCGTTTTGAGAAAATGTTTAATTTCGTGTTGTGCTTTGATTAATTTGCTACAAATGCGTTTTGTTTGTTGATGTTGTTCATTTTATTCAATGAGTTTTGCGGCTCTATACTTTTCATATTTTTTTTACGAACTCGATATATTTGTGATATTACAATAATAATATATCATTATGTTGTAAATGTTTATTAACAGAAAGATATAAGTTCATCGCTCCTTCCTAATTCTAGGAGGGGAAGTCGGACGAACAGATTAGCCGTATTATCCGGAGGATCAAGAAGATGCAGTGGTTAGTTTACATGTCTTTCCCTCTGTATCTTTCAGTATCGGTGTATTTGTATATTATTCGTAAGATCAAGAAGTTTACGTGTGTGTGTGTGTGTGTGTGTGTGTGTGTGTCTGTGTCGGTGTGTGGGTGCGTGACTGTCTGTTCATGTTTCTGGGTGTCTGAGTCTTCATTCAGATGTCAATCATCTTGTACACCTAATAGTTGTTTATGTTTTTTTAGTTTGCACTGTGTTTCTCATGCGTTGTGTTAGGTTTTTTAATGTTGTTGTTTTACGGATGTTTTGTTGTATATATTTGTGTGGCGGTTTTATTTCTGTCCAGTTTTGGTTTGTTATAATGTTCTTTCCGGTGAACTGTAGTAGGAGCGGGCCTTGTTCGCGGGCCTTATTCGCGGGCCTTGTTTCCCAAAAAAATATTGTCAGCCAGACATTATGACCAAAAAAAGAGCCACAATTCTTGAAAAAATTTTCCCCCGGGTTGAAAAAATATTTGCTATTGAAGTACATATTCGGCCCTTCAAAGTTAAAATAGTTCTCAATACGGCCCTCACAGCAAAATGTTCGCTCACCCCTGGTCTACATGGTTTATTTGCTTTTAACCTTTGTAATTATTCTTAATCCATTATCATTTTTTTTTATCATTACAATCATTGATATTATCAGTTTTGACGCCGGTATTCTTACTTCATCACTCTTACATCATTACATATGTTCATCGCAATCGTCATGATCATTTTATCGTAACCATTATTATCACTGATGACTCAACTAAATTTTTCTCACAAGAACTTGGAAAGGTTCAAACATTTTCTCTGTTGTTTTCGATCCAAAAAATGTAACTTTTCCATTTTATAGCATCTTTTTTATGGCATTTCATGGGAGTTTTTTTTATCTCGTGTTTTATTCTCTACGTTTGTTTTATTTGTATTAAATTTTCTTGCAAGGTGAACCGACCATGGCATTTATGTTATTCTGTTGTTGCTGTTGTTGTATTGTGTGTCGTTACTGCATCTTGCTGTGTGGAACTCCAAGCGTTGGTGTGTGAAATATTTTTTGAAGTATTGGAGTTTGCTGTTTTTGATTACGTTGCTAATTTTTTTGTTGAAAATTTCGGTAATGTTTTTTTTATATTGAGTTCGACATTTAGATTAGAACAAATTATTTCTGAAGTATTTGTTATTGCTCTCTCGTTTGTCTAATTTAATTTTTTTTTATTGCTTTTCGTTGATCGTATAATGTGTGCAATCTCAACGTAGAGTGGAGTTAGTTTGATGTTCTTTTATTTCCGTCTCAATCTACATTTCGATAATTAGCAAGATTACCATTTTGAATTACTTTCCAGTTTATGACATCATCATTAACAAATTCTAAACGTCGTTATCATTATCGTTATTGTTGTCATCATCTTTTTTCAGTTGCGATCATCATCATTATCGTTATTATCATTTCCCATCTTATCATATCCTATCAATTTATGCGCACGCTCGCTCACTCACTCACTCACTCACTTACTCACTCTCACTCACTCACTCACTCATTCACTGCATTCATTCATTCATTCATTCATCTATCCATCCATTCATTCACTCATTCAATAAATATAATTAATAAACCGAATAAACAACTTTTAAAAACAGCATATAAAAATGGAATAATTATTCTATTTCGTTCATAACTCAAGATATATTTCTTTCTTAATTTATTTGCAGTGAAGCTCCAGGAATCATCGCCATCATCTTCGCTGGTCCATCCTTTCCCTTCGCAAATTAGTCACTTGAAGAGGTTAGCACGTCTTTTTTATTACTTTTTACCTGTTGTTTTTTATCTTGTTTTTCTATTCTTTTTAATTTCGTGTTTTTTTTTGTCTTAATTAAAATTTTCTCAACGCAGTTTCAGTGGAAAGTGGATTATACTCAATTGGATGGCCAGCATTTAAAAATTTTTAATCGCACGTAGTTGATTAATTTCTAGAGAATCTCTAGAGTTCAAGTGTGTTTTCATTACAGAAGTGCATATAAACAAACATGCGTGTACACATTCATGTATAATATTATATATACGCACCCACAAACGAATTTTTAACAATTAAAATAACCAAGCTCTTACTCAAGTTTATTTATACTTACCTACGCACACATGCAAACACGCATCCACGCAGGCATACATGGAAATGGTGCATAGACACACTCATGTGCAATACATTCACACAGTTGCAGGCATATATATGGCATACTTTGGAGAGAGTTTTAACGTAGCACATTCATAATGGATTGTTGAATTTTTTGAATGTGCCAGCGATTGGTGATGCTCCATTTGCATATACTTACGCACATTACCACGTTCATATGCTTGCTTACTGTTAGGCAAAATATACACATTCACAAACAGACATTCACATTCATTCACTATCATACACTCACATACATCCATTCACAATTATTCATTCACGACACAATTTTAAGAACAAACCAATACAATCGTACATTCGTTCGTTAAAAAATATTAACAACACATACATTCCGCGCACACGTACACATACACTCACACATGCATAAACATACACCCACATTCTCAAGCTCACATGCATAAACTTACAAAAGCATATAAACGAAAACATAAACACACTTTCACCAATTTACTTTCACACACATACATCGTTGCATTATTTTAACAATGTTCTGTCGGATGTTGAAGTTGTCGTGTCAGGAGTTCCCCAGGGATTGGTTCTAGGACCACTTCTGTTTTTGCTGTACACAGTCGATACTCTTCCAATCACTGAGATATATAACTTCAAATATCATGCGTTTGCTGATGATTTGCAGATAATTTGTTCGAGTACTTCTGCTCTCACTTTTGAGGAGCTTATTGATTCATTTGAAGAACTCAATGGTTGGATGGTCGAGAATGAGATTAAAGCTCTCATGGTTTTGCAGTCGCGGGTTCAACAGTTTGGGACAGTTTCCGGACAGTCTGCCTCAAGAAGGATTGACTGTTCAAGAATTTCGCATGGAACTGAAAACAATTCCACTGGGCTCAAGAAGCTTCCCTGCATAATATTAAAGAACGCTATATAAATTATCCAACAATAATATTAATTATATCATCACATTACATTATTTCATTACATTACATGGTATTACATTGTATTACATTACGTAACACGGGTCTAAATGAATATACTTTTTTTGTCTCAACTCTATTGAAAATGAAACATCCATATCTTGTACACGGGCATGCAGCGGTTTCCAGTTCCAATACTTTTCTCTGAATCCTGGAATTATTTTTTTCTAATTAGAAAGGGACCACCAACGTCAACGTCATCTTTTATACTGTTGCACCCCCATCTAGTGCTCTTGAGATATCATTTCATTGAAGAGGTCACACTTGATGGCACTATCCTCACTTACTGATCGTCGTAATCTGCTGCAATAACAACACAACAACACTCGTTATATTTTTCAATAAACCCGCAACATCAGATATAAATAGCAGGAGTTGGTCAGTAGATAAGCATGGTCACATACCTTCCGCATTCAAATGCGAAAAACATGCAAACACACATCCACATATTAAAATACGCACATACACACACATACACGCATTCATTTTCACACATAAATACGCATATATACGTACACAGGTATACACACACACATGCGCACATATATAAACACTACACGCATACACACACACATACACATACATACACATGCACAGCACACTGATATTCTTCTCCTACCAAACAGACACAAACAAACCAGTCAGTCTTAATAGTTTATATCATTTCTTCACGCCTTTTTATAATTCTTTTTTCTGTTTTTTTTTCTGGAAGAAATTTTGAAAAAAAAAATTCTTTTGCGCAAAAAATTTGTTTACCACTAATAATGACGTCATCATTCATAATTAGAGTAATATAAAGATCGGAGATTATAATTTTTTATTGTAATAAATTTTTTATTGGTTATAAATATCGTTCATAAATAAAAATATTTATTCTAATAATAATAATAATAATTATTATTATTCTTATTATTTTTAGTAGTAGTAGTAAAAGTATTTTTCTTATTGTTACAAAAAATAAAAAAATCGTTGATAGTAATGATAATAATAATATTAAAATGAAAAATGATTAATCCTTAAGCGAAAAACGAATCTTTTGAAAATTTTTTGAAAAACATTGCTCGTGTTCCCATGTTTCATTCATCATCGTCATCATCTTAATCATATTATTATTTATTGTTTATTATATTTATATTACATGCATTTCGAAAGATTGTACGTTATTGATTATCATGAACAGCTTGTGGATTGAAAATTTTCTTGATTTGATGATTGAATGAATGTTCGAATGAATGAATGATCGATTGAGTGACTGAATGACGAAATAAATAAGCGAACCAATGAATGAATGAAAGAAGGACTGAATGAATGAGTGATGATTAAATAAAATAACGAATAGAAATGACAGACTTCGAGATATAAACAAATAAATGGGTGAATAAATGCTTTTTTGAAAAACGATTGAGTGTATAGTTGAATGAATGAATGAATGAATGAATAAATGAATGAATGAATGAATGAATGAATGAATGAATGAATGAATGAATGAATGAATGAACGAATGAATGAACGAATGAATGAACGAAAAAAAGAAAGAACGACAGAACGTTCAAATGAATGAAAGAAAATGTAGGAGCCAATTTAGAAAATAACTTGATTCATGGAAGCAGCATTCAGGCGAAGGTAGGTACATGAGGAGCTCAGCGCCTAATTAATTCAATTAACAATGCAAGTCAAAGAATGGGCGAATGCAATAAAATGATGATGATGATAATGGTGAAGATGGTAATGATGAGATGGATGACGATCGTGCCGATGGTGAAGATGTTGATGACGATGATGACGAGATGGATGATGGTTATGAAGATAGCGACAACTTTGACGATAACTATACAAGAAGCATTGATGTTAACGATTTTGTTAACGTGTGTGTGTGTGTGTGTGTGTGT